TTGTCTGTAAATTATTTTCCTCCCATAGGTTTAAAACTGCTCATGGTAGCTATTGCTAGCTACATTGTTTAGGTCTCTGTTATAGCTTACAGTCTAAGCATCATTCTTCGGAAAAGGATCGCTTAATATTATGCATCAGATGTACCTAATGAATAAAACTATGGGATAATTTAAGTCCATTTGAGGAAGATGTAAACAATAACCTAAAGAAATAAAAAACAAGATGTGTTTGTGAAACACTATGCACCCGGCGGCAACAAAGTTCCAAAAAAGTATTTTTAGCATAAAGGTCACAGTCAAGGTCACAAGGTCATTGGCCTTGGTGTCATTTGAAAGACCTTAATTAGTATTGCACGCATACCAAATATGAGGTCTCTATCTCTCATGGTTCAAAAGTTATGGCCAAATTTCAAAAAAGCTATTTTTTGCATATAGGTCACAGTCAAGGTCAATGACCTTGGTGTCAATTGAAAGAGCTTAATTAGTGGAGTAAGCATACCAAATATGAAGTCTTTATCTTTCATGGTTCAATAGTTACTGCAAAAGTTTGAAAAAGCTATTTTTAGCATATAGGTCACAGTTAAGGTCATAAGGTCATTGACCTTGATGTCATTTGAAAGAACTTTTTTCGTGGAGTATGCATACCTAATATGAAGTCTCTATCTCTCATGGTTCAAAAGTTATGGCGAAGGTTAAAGTTGACAACAGACAGACAAACAGATAAAAAGACAGGACAAAAACAAAATATATGCCTCGGATCTATCGATCCGGGCGCATAAAAATCAACTATTAAAAAGCAAGTATAAACAAATATGTACAGGGGTGTAAGTATCGTTTGTGACAGCCAGAAAAAATATTTTACACTTAATTGAAAAAAAGTTCACCCTACTCCCCAATATACTCCTTGTCTATTTTTTGATTGGAATCATAATGTTAGGTATCAAGTAGATTTTATTTTTGAAATAATGTCTATACATTCACCTAACACATATTAATAAATGAAGATGTATTGAAAGAGTTATAAAGAATTGATTTTTTAAAATATATTTTGATCAACTTCACAAAATTTATATCAGTGGCTCAAACTGGCAGATGATGAAATAAACAATTAGATGTTCTACTTTTCTATTTGTAACCATTATGTGTCCAGTGGCAAGGATCCTGTTAGGATAGCATAAAACATGAAGCAAATATGGATGTACAAATGTCAATAAATAATTTATACCCACCCACCCCCAAAAAATGTTTTTCTTTTTATTTCCTCCTCCTATGCGACTTTTTCATTCTGATGTTCATAACTAAATCTATAAAAAAAAACTGGCCTAAGGTTGAAGAAAGATACCTTTATCAAAATGGATAATTTCAAGGCCCCTGGGTCAGGGGTAACTGGGGGGGGGGGGCATTTTTTGCATCTTTACTTCAAAACAGGATAAAATTACCAGTATAGACATTTCACTGATTAAAACTCGCAATGATAAAAAGGTAAAGAAGAGTCTATTATTTCAGCGATCTTAGTGAGTGTGATAGGTCATTGAATTATTATATCATAATACAGGAAGACTGAAAGAAGAGAGGTCGGAAGAACCGTTTAACATGGTGTCTGATGTTGTCAAAAGACATTTGTGTATCTGTTATGTAAATAGATAATGGACAATATGCTCATACTGTTCTAGAAATTTTGACAAAGGACTTTGTTATGAAAACAGTGAATGTTCAATGGCTACCAAGAATTCATTTCAGAACAGAAATTTGTGAACATATTCAAGAATCTCAAATATTTTTATTGCAATACCAAATTCACACATTGTATATAGTTCTATTTTTTTAAAAGTATTATTTACTTTGAATTCAAATTTTCAGGTCTAATTTGAAATATAAGCTTCCGGGACCATTTATAATTTTGTTGTTGTATGTCGACTGGTAGCTATTTTATTGAAGTTGTGACATTACTTTTGGATCAAACCTTGCATAATATGTAACAGTTGAGAATTGTACTTTAGATTTGGAAATCTGTGTGTTTTCTACTAACTGAGCAATCTCTTTTTTTCAGGTTCTTTACGGATAGCCAAAGCCCTAGAGTCAGATTATGGAAAATATGAATGCGTAGCTACCAATGAGTATGGAGTGACTTACTCTTATGCTGCGATGTTATACATCAGAGGTGTGTATCTTTAGTGGCAGCTGAGGTAAAAAGAGAAATCCTTAGAGAAAAAAATGAATGCCTATTTACATTACTCAGTTTTTACAACTTCACAAGAGTTGGCTCTTGAAATCATAAATTCTGAATTGCATAACAAATGATTATTTCTTTGAGGGGGGAGAAAAAGTCTGAATGAAAATCTTGATCCCATCAATTAGTCTGAATTGTTGAACAAAGAATAATGTTTATGACTTAAAGTTGAATGAGATTCCAATGGCAGTGGACCAAAATTTGCTGCCGAGATAATTATGGAGTTACCTCCCTTAGATTGAGCAGAGCTTTGTAATATGTACATTGAACTAATACCCCAATATTTCTGTTTGTCTGGCATGACACTAAATGAAGGATGACTAGAATATTGTTATTGAACATCTGTCTGCTATCACGATCAGACTTTTCATATTTTTTCCCCCAATTTTTCCTTGTGTACTACAAGGTTGTTAAACCTAGGGTTAGATACAATCGGACTTTATCAGATAAAAGGTAGACAACAATGTTTCATGATCATATACCCATCATGTCAGTTTTAACATAAGTAGTTTCACAGAACTCTCCCCCTTGAATTCAAAAAGAATAAAAGATAAGAATTCTCTGTTAGAGAAACAAAAGCATGAAATTGTATATAAAGTAAAACTAGTCTATTGTATTGTGAATATTGTTTATCATTTTTAAAACAATTAATGTTACTCCTCAAAATTTTTAATTTCTTTTTCTCTTTTACTATTGGGCAATTAGGAACTAATTTTTCCTCTCTCCTCACTCAGATATAACATTGATGGGTTGTTCTTTTGTCCACTTCCCTATACTTGAAAAGTATGAATCAACACTTAACATTGTTAGTAGGGCTGTGTATTGAGCAAAAAATTTCAATACGATACAATATTTCTTAAAGCGATATGCTATATATTGGATTCTAAAACAAGTCCATCAAAAAAGGCTTATTAATCATTTAATGCATGGATTTCATAAAAAAAAATAGTGATTCATTACCCATTTCAAAGTTCTTATCCCATAGAAAGTAAATAAAACACTTCAAATCAAAACTTTTAATGACTGTAAAATCAGCATGTTGAAATAAAATTGTTATGTATTTTATCATAACTATAAAAACGGTGTTATTTCTTTTATAAATCTTGGTTTTAATTTAAAAAGGTGAAATATAATCTTTGCTGATTATAATTTCCACCTTTTTAGCAGAATTAGAAGAAAAACTGCTTGTCCGATACGTATTGGAAGTAATTTCTCGATACGATATTTTTCTTGAATATTGATACGTATCGATATATCGATATATTGATACAGCCCTAATATTGTTACCAGATCTTAAGATGAATAGTGCATCATACAGACAGTGTGCTAGATATCAGGGCTATTTGTGATATGCTAGGTTTAATCAAAGACTCTGATAATATCAGCTCCCAAGTGAAAATTTTTTTTTAAACAAATCACTTACAAATTGCCTACAAATTGCTTTAAAATCACTTAAAAGTGATTTGATTCAGTGATTTGTAAGCAATTCATCTAATAAATCATGCATAAATCACCTTCTACCAAAATGATGACTATGATTTGCTTACAATTTGTTATGAAAGGGTGATTTGCTTGTGATTTCTTTTCCATTTCAGACAATTTCTGAGTGATTTGTTAAACTAAGGAAATTGTTACAGTGATTTCTTCATGATTTGTTGAACTTAGCTGTTCTCCAAGGTGATTTGAAAATGATTTCTGGAACTTAGTATTTCTTTAAAGTGATTTTAAGGAGGCTCGATCATTACACCACTTTTTGATGACGTTCTACACAAAAAATAAACCTTCATTGTGTCGACCGGTTTCCTCTGGGGACGAATTGTACAGGTACCTCTATAATATGACCCTGACCTTTAAAACGCTTTAAAAATAGATGAAACATGCGGTGTTATAAACAGTGAAAAACAAAGTAACAGATTCATTATGCATAAACCAAGAAGAATTGCTGTTAAGCAGAAACAAAATAAAACAGTCAAATCTTTGCCAAACAAGTAATGTCAATTTCATAGCGATGCATGCAGTGAGATCTAGCAATGAATGACATATTTGTATGGAGGAAATTCGAGTTAAAATCTACAACCTTGTTGAAATTAAAAAAAATTACTTGCACTATTTAGTGTTGGTGTTGATTTATATATAAATTGCTTTATTGATTTAAATGTATACTCTGGCAATTTAAAGCTTTGTTCTGAATTTTAGATGTAATGTCAAACGTTTCCTAGTGTTTTGAGTCTTGGAAAATTAGGAAAGATAACTCTTGAAAGTGGACTTTTTATACCAAATATTTTTTTTAATTGGATTTTTTATTTCGTTTAAACATTCTTCATTCAATTTGACGCATGTAATTCATTGATACATTCCTTTTCTCTTCAGAACCCATTTTGTTAATGCTTTATGCATAGATTAAAAAGATAGTGACATAAATTTTTTTTAGGAGAGAATTATTTTTTCTAATAAAATTATTATTAGGTATTATGAGGTATTTTTACTATGTGTACTTGTCTTAAGAAGATGCCCATCATTTGACACTTAAAAATTTCTGAAATTCTGTTAATAATAAACTTGAAATAAAACATTTCACTAAAATTAGACAAAAACTAAAAAATTTTATAAAAAATATTTATGATATCAATACCCCCATCTGAATATTTGACATCTACATTATAAGTGGTGCTGTATTGAAATCTAAAATAAACTGTGGATGTAATGAGCCACCTTAAGATGATTTGTTAACTTAGTCTTTCTTCTGGATGATTTGTAAATGATTTGTTGATCTCATTGGTCCTTCTTCAGAGTAATTTGAGAATGATTTACTTCATAACTTCCGCCTGTCTTGTTGATTGGTCAGTATTAAAAACTCTACCGCCAATTTTCATTCATCTGAGATTTGAATTGAAAGGAGCTAAATTGTGCTGTTCTAGATTCATACCTCTCTTTTGTTGAAACTGATGTTTTTTCCATAACCATGCAGAATATAGTTTTAAGGTATGTATAACTGTATTATATGCTATCATTTCCTCCTTAGATTCAGTTAATATTCCATATGTTTACATGCAATTTATTGTTCTTCTTAACCAACAACAAAGTCAGTGGCAATTAATGTTTAAAACAAAATCTATGTAAAGCTATAAGCTTCTGCAAAGTAATGGCTTTTTCAAAGTGTCTAGACAAATATTTATTTCAGATAAGAAAACATTTAACAACTTCTAAAAGTCAACAATTAATGCTTATATCATAATATTCTGAATTTGGAGCCAAGTACATGTGTGTATATCTAAAATACATGATGCCACCTTAATGAGGACACATCTTAGTAAAAGTTTATATTTTAAAATACTCTTGCTAAAATTTTTTTTTTTGTTAATATACATCAAATATACATGCATGTGTGTTTCAAATATTTGAGGGATGGTTTCATGAGAATCATGCATACAAGTGTATATCCACCTGGAGTGATTTGAAAGTGATTTGTTAAACTGAAGTGATTTGTTTGCAATTTAGGCCATAATAAAAATATTAATTCTTAGATTCTCATCCCCACCTGCCCTGATTTTATACCCCCGCCTCGATTTTTTTTATTTCTGTATTTCTTCGTCTTAATTCTGATCGGGATCGGTATTCATCTACCATTCTACTTTCGTTTTAAATCCCGCGAAAGTCGACATGATTTTGACAGCTGAAAAGATGGTAATTGCTGTAATACATGCGTACATATTTTAAACAAGGGTCATTGGTTGAAAATGATTGGCGATGATGTGAAGTAAGAGATAATTGAACCTTTACTATGACTTTTATTCGGGTATTTAGGTAAGATTACACCGATTGATCAGGTCAATAAAAAATCTGCAAAATTTGAAAAAATAAAAAATATGAAATAAAAGCCGCCTGCCCGCCTCGATTTTTAAAAAAATTTGGATGAGAATCTAGCAATTTATTTATTATGGCCTTATTTGAAATTATTTGTTTGCTATTTATTCAGAGTGATTTGGTTGCAATTTGTTCAACAGAAGTGATTTCTACACAATTTATTCAAAGTGATTTCAGGGTGATTTGCTTACAATTTGTTAGGAGTGATTTGTTAGCTCATTTGCATGGGAATTTGCATCACTTACAAATCATCTTCAAATCACTGATTCATAAGTGATTTCTTAAAGTGATTTGTTTAAGGATTTTTTTTCACTTGGGAGGTAATCTTAGAACACATCCCAGTCTTATTCCAGCATATCGTCAGCCCTACTTCAACATGGTATTAAATAGATCATGCTGATTTGAATTTAATACACTTCATGTTGAATCTACCATCATCAAATTATGATATCTTAATATTTTTAGGGTTTCAGATTAAAAAACACACCTCCCATATATAATTTGATGCCAAGTAGTCTTATCTTAATAAAGCTTAAGTAACATTTATCTAAGAATTTTTAGAAGATTGCAATATTGTTGAAGATTGATTCAGTGGCAAATACTGAATGTTCAGAGAGTTCTGCTCTCTTAAAATATTTCTAAGTACTTGAAGCTTTTTAAGATTTTAATGGCAGTTTCTGTGTCATTTTTCATCAATGCATGCAAGAATTTATAACAAAGCCACAAAAAAGCACGCATATAAATGTTACGTTTTACTTGACATAAAGCATAGCTTAAATAAATTGACTCTTTTTCAGTACGTAGAGTCCCCCCTATTTTCACCCTCCCCCCAAAGAGAGTGGAGGTGGACCCCAATGGCAGCGTCAATCTGACCTGCGTGGCGGTCGGGTCCCCCATGCCACACGTTATGTGGCGGGATGGTGCCACGGAACTCGGAAAGCCTGTCATAGGAAAGAATGTCCTCCAACTTAAAAACATCACCGAGAGCAAGAACTACACATGCGTGGCGTCATCTGACTTAGGAAACATCGAACACATCGGGGAGGTCATCGTTAAAGGTAAAATGTCTGTACAGCGACATTTGGACTGTTTCTTTAGAAATTACACTCTGGAAAGGTGTGTTCCCTGAACGTCTGCTCCCTATATAAACAGTATAATTATCACACTCAATTAAGGGGCCCTCTGAGAGGCACAGGGGTGTGTTCCCTGAACGTGTCTACTCCAGTATATAAACAGTATAATTATCACACTCAATTAAGGGGCCCTCTGAGGGGCACAGGGGTGTGTTCCCTGAACGTGTCTACTCCAGTATATAAACAGTATAATTATCACACTCAATTAAGGGGCCCTCTGAGAGGCACAGGGGTGTGTTCCCTGAACGTGTCTACTCCATATATAAACAGTATAATTATCACACTCAATTAAGGGGCCCTCTGAGGGGCACAGGTAGCATTTACCTGTGTCACCTGTGTTTTAAACTGCATTTATAAGACTGTGACAAAGACTTATATAGGAAAAATCTTAGCATTTAGTCCTATAAAATGAAATAATCTTGTTAAAATTTTTAAATATTTTCTACTTAAATTTTCAAAGTATTTACTAGGTATTTTAATCAATTTATATTTATCAATGTTTCAAAAATCTTAGTTAATACCAATAATTCCTATAAAATGAATTAAATGTTATTCAAATTTTAAAATATTTTTACTCAAATTTTCAAAGTATTTATTTTAATTTTGTAGTACAAAATAATATCTTTGTTAAGGGAGGATTTTGCTTCGTGTGTCACAAATAACTATAATAGTTATTTGTGATGCGCCAAGCAAAAACCTCCCTTAATGAAGAATTTTGACATTTTCAGTTTTTAGCTCACCTGAGCCAAAGACTCAAGTGAGCTTTTCTGATCACATTTTGCCCGTCGTCCATCCGCCTAGCTGTCCGTCTGTCTGTAAACATTTTTTTCAAAATGCTACTCCTCCTACAGTTTTGGTCTGATTTCAATATAACTTGGCACAGAAGTAGACTACACTAAGATACATAATTCTGTATATCAGTTTTTGATTTCGATAAATGGTGTTGCCGTGGTAACTAAAAATAGAAATTTCTGTGAATTTCTTTCAAAATGCTACTCCTCCTACAGTTTTGGTCTGATTTCAATATTACTTGGCACACAAGTAGATTACACTAAGATCCATAATTGTGTACATCGGTTTTTGATTTCCATGAACGGTGTGATCGTGGTTACTAAAAATAGAAATTTCATTAAAATGGTTTCAAAATGCTACTCCTCCTACAGTTTTGTTCTGATTTCAATATTACTTGGCACACAAGTAGACTACACTAAGATCCATAATTGTGTATATCAGTTTTTGATTTCCATGAACGGTGTTGTTGTGGTTACTAAAAATAGAAATTTCTGTGAAATTGTTTCAAAATGCTACTCCTCCTACAGTTTTGGTCTGATTTCAATATAACTTGGCACACAAGTAGACTACACTAAGATAAACAAATCTGTACAACAGTTTTTGATTTTAATTTTGCACAGAAGTAGACTACACTTAGATACACAATTCTGTTTATCATTTTTAGCTCACCTGAGCTGTCTGTCCGTCTGTCTAGCTGTCCGTCTGTAAACTTTTCGCATTTTCGACTTCTTCTCAAGAACCACTAGGCCAATTTTGACCAAACTTGGCACAAAGCATCCTTGGATAAAGGGAAATTTAAGGGCCAAGTCTCCTCACAAGGGGAGATAATCAAGAAAAGACAAAAATAGGGTGGAGTCATTAAAAAATCTTCTTCTCAAGAACCACTGGGCCAGAAAAGCTGAAACTTACGTGAAAGCATCCTAGGGTAGTGTAGATTCTAAATTGTTAAAATCATGACCCCCGGGCGTAGGGCGGGGCCACAATGGGGAATCAAAGTTTTACGCAGAAATATATAGCAAATATATTTAAAAATCTTCTTCTCAAGAACCAATGGGCCAGAAAAGCTGAAACGTAGGTGCAAGCATCCCGGGGTGGTGTAGATTCTAAATTGTTAAAATCATGACCCCCGGGGGTAGGGCGGGGCCACAATGGGGAATCAAAGTTTTACATAGAAATATATAGCAAAAATCTTTAAAAATCTTCTTCTCAAGAACCACAGGGCCAGAAAAGCTGAAACTTATGTGGAAGCATCCTGGGGTGGTGTAGATTCTATATTGTTCAAATCATGACCCCCGGGGGGTTGGGGGGGGGACACAATGGGGAATCAAAGTTTTACATAGAAATATATATGAAAAATCTTTGAAAATCTTCTTCTCAAGAACCTCCGGGCCAGAAAAGCTGAAACTTATGTGGAAGCATCCTGGGGTAGTGTAGATTCAAAATTGTTCTAATCATGGCCCCGGGGGTAGGGCGGGGTCACAATGGGGAAACAAAGTTTTGCAATGAGGAATCAAAGCATCCTGGGGTAGTGTAAATTTCAAATTGTCTAAATTATGATCAGTGGTGTAGGGTGGGGTCACAATGTATTACAAGGGGGAAATCTGGTAAAGAATGGAATGGTCAAAGCTTCTCAGGTGAGCGATGTGGCCCATATACATACCCCAAATACAGTTTTAGTCTGATTATAATATAATGTGGCATACAAGTAGACTACACTTAAAGATAAAGAACATAAAAATTATTCTATTTATTGCTGTTGTAAAGTTTCAATTCCCAACTGCTACTTTTCTCTTCTTTTGCTATAAGTACAAACCAGTATAGCTTCAGTCTCGACAGAGACTTCTGGTTTCTCCTAAATTATGTCATATGTAAAGAAGTTAGATTACAATTTGTATTATGTAATGTGATATTGAGTTATGTGAATGTTACGTGAAAGGCATCATAAATATTAAATTGTTAACAGAGAGAATATGTGTAGTCTGCTGCATAATGAATAATATAAAAGTATGAACATAATGTATTGTTTAGGCCAAAATAAAATATGCTCTTGGGCCATCCTTGAAAAATTGTTTGTTTGGAATTGCTGCCTGAAGGGTTTCAGACAGAAGAGGGAGGGAGGGAAATTTTTTTTCAAAAATTGAAGATAATTTTAATTTTTTGATAAAAATCTCAGCAAACAGTGAATACATTTTCTGACTTTAAAAAGTATCTACCATCAATTTTGCATAGATCTGACACTACATTTCAGTGTTTTGTATGGTGCATGTGATAAACGGTAAAAAAATTGATTAAATAAAAGAAAAATCTTCCTACTTTTGGTCAATAAAATTTTTCAGTATGGGGCATTTCAATGAGGCGGGAGGCAATTCCAAACAAACATTAATTTTATTTTGGCCTTGTTTCCTGTCACCCGACCTACCTTACATTTTACATTCCGACCCAAACAGATTTTTTTTTTTACATTTTCAAATTTTGGGGGCTATTTTCTTGAAATACATAAAGTCAACCAACAATATTTATAGAACTAACACATCACAAGTGTACAGGATACCTTTACTTAATAAAAATCTTTATTAACAAACAATGCATTCATTGATCGAGTATTAAAAATAAAAAAATTTCTCAAAATAAATTTTTTTTCCTACCTACTTACCTTATATTTTTTGGTCAGGGGACAGGAAACAAGATTATTTTTTTCTTTTGGCCTTAGCTTGTTTGCAATTAAAGGAATTTTCATACACTTAATACAAAAATCTATAAAACATAAAAGGGGTTGGGGGTGGTGTTGCTGCTGAATGCATTGTAAAGACTTAATTTTGAGAATAGTTTAAATATAACTGTCACTATAAGTATTTCCAAAGATATACAGAAAACCGGTACCTCAGATTCATCCTCAGTTGTTATTCAGGCAACATATGACTACTTTACATTGATAAATGATACACTATATAGTATTTTTGAAAAACTCTTCTGTCTGAATAGGGATGTGCGATTTTATCGGTATACCGGTATATCATGATTTTTTGTTGCGTGATACGTATCGTGATACGGAGACCTAAATACCGGTCTTTAGGTACATATTATAAAGTCCAGAAATTATTCATTTATTTGTTCAATCTTTCAAATTACAATTACAGAAAGTATTAAAAAAAATGTTGTAAAAAGTGAAAAGAACGACATCTTACCATCAAAACATAATTGATTTTATATACATAAAAATTTCAATAAAGTAAAATTTTGTTTTTCTAGCATATTTTTTAGAAAAATAATGACTTTTCATATAAAATCATTGTAAAAACTGTTTTTAAAAATATCATGATATTATCGTGATATTGTGGGAAAAAATCGTGATATATCGCGATACGAATTTTTTGGCGATAACCATCCCTTAAAACTTTCAAGGCATTTTCATACATCTTGAAGAGTATACTCTTCAAGGTGCATGAAAATGCCTTGCAAGTTTTAAGTTGTCTCTGAACCTGTGTTTTTGATATGAATGTATGTCTTTACAAGCATGTATGTTATAGTGTCTCCACAAAGATTAACCCTCTCTAGAGAATCGTAACTTATCCATGATTCCCCATTGTATTTTGTAGTTGCACCACAAATTACCCAGGAAGTTCGGAACTTGACCGTGGCTGAGGAATTAGTGGTCAGTTTTGTCTGTAAAGCCTCAGGATATCCACAACCTACGTTTTACTGGGAAAAGGATGGGGAAAAACTGAACATAGGGAGGAACCGATTCAAAGTATTTGACATGCCGTATGGTAGCGTTTTGAGGATTGAGACCGTTCGGAATAAGGACAGTGGGAGTTCCTTTACCTGTGTGGCGGAGAATGGAGTGGGGGATCCAGCCTGGAGTACGGGGCATCTGAAGGTTTACCGCATTGACAGGGGAAACGGTAAGAAGACATTAGGTCGGTGTCGATGACTGTGTGGTTTGAAAGTTTTGATGTTGCTTGGTCACTATACTCTACATCTCATACCTTTTGTATAAGAATTTTATTTTGAGAAAGAGTGGGGTTTTGGAGAAAATGTTAAGAGTTTCATTCATCAGCATTTATACAGTACTGCTCAATATTGCAGGTGAGCAATTGTCAACTATTTCAGCTTTTTTCAAATATTTTCAAATTTTGAATAGATGTGGTCTTTTGTATAATTGCAGCATATAAGACAAACTTTGTATACTTTCTGCTTTTTTCCACTGTTGTTTGACGATGCCTATATATATTTTCTTTCCCATAATCCTCCCATCTACCCAGTCTACCCATAATTCCCTGCTCTCTGTCTTTCTTCTGGACCATCCCTATAAAAATCTTACTTCCGTGTATATATTTTAGGGATGTCAAAATATTTATTTTCCTTAGTCGAATATTCGATTGCATTATTCGAACGATAGTCGACTATTCGGAATTTTTTTTTCAAACTTTCTTTGATAGCGTATCTATAAATCAAAAACCATTCTCGTAAATTTATGTAAAAAGTAACATCAAATGCCTACAAAGCATATTACACACCGATATTCAGAGGAACGTGAAGTAGGAATAAGTTGTTTAAATGAAATAGATTTACACCAGCAATTAATTTTCAAAAATGTATGAATTCTCGTAAATCACGTATTGATATAAATTGGTCTGTACATTCTTTTGTTCTAGTACGCTTAAAGAATTGTCAGCACGGTGTTTCTAAAGCTTATTAAAAGGGGAGGAGTAAACACACACTATTCACACATTAGGGGATGTTGTAAAATACTGATTGTTCAATTAACGATTAGCCCGGCTATCAAAATTTCCTTACTGTGTAGGTTTATTAATTGTTTGATAATTATAGAAGTTTCAAAACTTCACGGTGCTGGTGTGTTCCTACAGCATTTGAATATTCTTAGAGGCAATTAATAAATCTATAATTGGTACAAGTCCAATTAATTATTTTCAAAGTCAAGTATAGCGCTGCATAATTTACTACAATAAAAAAAGGTCGGTAATTGAGAAATAATTATCGCGGTATGTAATTACTGTACTGTCCATATGTATAATGTGGAAATTTATTATATACCGTGACTATATTTAAGCTCTTATTCGACTGGGGGCAAATACTATAATGGTTTGAGGAATGACGCTTTATCAATTTTGAGTTGAGAATTTCTTTATCACCTCCTTTTTCTGTATTTTTTAAATATTCGAATGTCGTTTCATTATTCGATAGTCGGTCCATTCGACTGATAGTCGAATAGTCGACTATTCATTGACATCCCTAATATATTTTCTTCCTACAAGTTGGCATTTTGTTATCACGTTAAGAAAACATTTTTCAGCAAGATTTTTAAACTAATCAGGAGTTTTATCATTGATGAGTGCAGAACTATTCATCTAAGTTTGTTTTAAAAATTAATTCAATGGTATATATACCTCAATATATAGACTTCTATTCACTAATGATCTTTTTTTTAAGAGATACTAAACATTCAGTTGTCAAACAAATGTCATAGATGGAGGGAGTCTGACACTTTTTTTTCAGTTGAATGTGGAATTCCGCACGTACTGAAATGTTTTAACACTAGAAATATGGGTTAGCTTATTTAGAGAAAGAATTTGTTGCACTATTTATCAATAAATAAGGCCGAAGATAACCTATCTTTACTTTCATATATATATATTTTTACAGAATTTCCAGTAGGATATCCCAAAATCATTGTAAATCCAGAGCTAAAATCTGTTGAGAAAGAGAAACCTGCCATCATGGAGTGTCAAGCGGATGCTAATGGACACAAGTTTGATATTGAGTGGTTCAAAAATAATGTCCCTGTAGACCTGGGTGACAACAAACGGCTCACAATCACAGAAACAGGTACGTGTGTGTCAGATAAATGAAATACAAGATTCTAAGTAAGAATATTTATTTTGCTATTTAACTACCTTTTAAAGCTTCTGAGGAAAATTCTTAGAATATATTTTACCAGAAAGAACAAAATCTAAACCAGGGATGAACCGTTGATGAGTCAAATTATCTGCTGATGAGGTCACAGTTTACAATTTTTGCACCCTTTAGTTTTAAGTGCCGGCATAGTATTTTCAATCATTAAGAAATCTCCCCTACAAACACATATTCTAGTTTTAGGGCACAAAAATTCTGTAAATCTTTTCATTGATAAGAAAATAATATAAAAAATAGAAAGCCTAATTTTCCCCAGAAGATAATTGTTTTCATTATAAATGTATCAAAGCATTTTTACAGTGTGCATGTTAGATATCTATATGTCTTGAGGGGATTGACTCACTGTGATTCTGTGGGTTGTTTACGTCAGTAGAATCAAATAAATAAATCACGGCTGTTTGAAAATCAATAAACAAAAATAAACAATGCATAAATTAATGCAGCTGTCAATTAATTCTAATTATCTCCAAACCTGGTCAACAGTGTGCGTTCAGGCGTGAAGCTATTTCCTGTTACCAAGTGTAATTTTCACACCTTTCTGTGCATTATGTAAACAGAGGAGAGACTGGCTAACCCAGGCACAAATTTTACATGCTTCTTTTTTCAAGGTCCTTGTTGAATGTTCTAACATCTCAATTTTCTTGGAGTCATAAATTTTACATGTAAAATATATCTACTTGCTAGGTTTCCTTGATTACCTAAAACAAATTTTATAAATTAATTTTTTGTAAAATACAGGAACATGTATGGAGGACTTAACAATTTGAGTAACGAATGTCAATTTAAAGAAGAAAAAAAACAGAATTTTACTGTTTTTTAAAACAGTGCTTAAATTTTAAGTGGACCAACGGTCCACCTAGTCCAGAACATTTGGTGGACCTTCCAATTTTTGGTGGGCTTGGGCCGCCGGTCAACCGTTGATGTCGAACCCAGTTAATCTGGTCTCTTGTTTGGAAAATATAGGTCAGATCCAGCATCCGAAGCAAGTCTGGTAGTGTCCATCCCTAGATGCATCATCTGTGCAAGTTTTGTTCAGGTAGGGCTTATAGTTACTTGGGAATGAAAGTATATGTCAGATCCAGCATCCGAAGCAAGTCTGGTAGTGTCCATCCCTAGATGCATCATCTGTGCAAGTTTGGTTCAGGCAGGGCTTATGGTTACTAGGGAATGAAAATGTAGGTCAGATCCAGCATCCGAAGCAAGTCTGGTAGTGTCCATCCCTAGATGCATCATCTGTGCAAGTTTGGTTCAGGCAGGGCTTATGGTTACTAGGGAATGAAAATGTAGGTCAGATCCAGCATCCGAAGCAAGTCTGGTAGTGTCCATCCCTAGATGCATCATCAATGCAAGTATGGTTCAGGCAGGACTTACAGTTACTTGGGAATGAAAATATAGGTCAGATCCAGCATCCGAAGCAAGTCTGGTAGTGTCCATCCCTAGATACATCATCTGTGCAAGCTTGGTCCAAGTAGGGCTTATAGTTCCTTAGGAATGGACCTGCTCCAAAAACTTTAACCTGGTCACTCATCTGGAAAATGTAGGTCAGATCCAGCATACTAAACTAGTCTGGTAGTGTTCATCCCTAGATGCATCATCCATGCAAGTTTGGTTTGGGTAGGGCTTATAGTTACTTGGAAATGGACCTGCTCCAAAAACTTTAATCTGGTCACTTAT